AAAAAACGTCCTCTTTCGAACGGGAAGGACACCTTTGGCAGAATGGCGCACCATTAGTGTCGCGCGTCCAATGCGACAGTCAGCGTCGTTACGGCCTCCTTGCCTTACGCGGCGTAGCGTAGGCCGGGCGAGAAAAAGCAAGCTCAAAAAAGTGGCAAGGCTTGTTTTGTCTATCTTGTAACACCTTTCCTTCATTGTCTTTGGAAAGTCTTTAGTTGTTTCCTCTATATTCGGTTTGACCTTTAAAATTTTGCTACCACTAATCCGCGGCCGATAAATGTCAATTTTCCGAACGGTTTTTGACAAATACTGTTCGCTCCCAGCCCTGCGGCTGATCAAACAAAACCCCACATTGACAATTTTTCCCCCAATTTTGATCCTACAGTTACATGCGTTTTGCCGCGTATTTGGCGCCAAACCGGGGGTTGGATGGGCAAATCATTTTCGGGATTGAATGTCAATTTTTAACGCGGTTTTGGGCTTTGTCCGATATGTACCAGATCTCTCCCGGATTGTGAAAAACGAGACAGTGATTTTTGGAGCTGGAATTGTTCGTGCGATCTTGCAAGTCTTTGAAAAAATTGTAGAAGGTTTTAATTAATAGCTTACGGTGTAGTAATACCAATATTATGTTCCAAAAAAGGTATTGCATCCTGTTTACCAGCTTTTTTCCCTAAAAACGTTTAGCCGCCTGCTAAATTGCATTTTGAAAGGTAGTCGAAAACTGAATCGAAAGCTCCGCCCAAGTTAATCTTTACGCCCGAGTGCGTGGCTAGCCATGTCGCTATATTTGGTCAGCGGTTTTCAAAGTGGTTTGACATTAATAGTGCATGGTGCTGATGTTGGTTGCACCGACAATTTTATGATACTTCAAGCTAAGCTAGTCGGGCTGCTACGATTACGCTTATGCCTAAAAAGCTTGTAAGCATCGTGCCGAGCGTTGTGTAATCTTCGAATTTACCGGCTAAAGGCGTCCAGGCGCTCTGGAGCAGCACTTCGTGATGATTGTAATGGAAACAAACCGAGCTTCGCGAATGACCTCACAGGATTCTTCTTTATTGTACTGATTTATTCACTATTTATTCATGTACTAACTGATTGCCACCAAGTAAGAGCTAGATGGAAAGAAGAAACAGTAAACGACACATAAATCTCTACAACGAGTTTTCGCCAGTTCACAGCTGTTATGGGATAAGTGTGTGGTAGCCGTAAGCCAAATACTGTAAGCGGCGCCGTGAAGGGCCGGCGAAAGGACCAATGGCAGCAGAGGGCGGGGGATAGCCGGGAAAACCTTGCCGCCGTTTACTGTAAAATTACTGGAAATAAGCATAAATTCGGTCAAGGTAAACATCATAAGCGGTATGGCACGGATGAATTGACGGTACCTCACGCTATGATGGGCAACTTTACATACACAGAACAAAAAGAAAACGACTAAAATAAAAATGCTCTACCAAAAACAACAAAGGAGGTTGCAATGAAACAAGAATTTATGACATTCAAGCCCAGTTAAGCCGAGTTTTGCGTCTGCTTGATCCTTCCAGCCCGACCAGCCAATGCGCCCCGACGCACCGCTAAACTGCATTTAGCACAAGGTATTTTGACGTGTCTAATAAACTAAAAGGATCAATTCACCTTCCATCTTAAGCCCAGCTTTTAAACACTTGTTCCAGCGACAGCTTCTACAGTATTCACCATTACTGAACGTCAATATCTGAGCTTCAAGAAACAATCCCACCTGCGCTGTAAAGAACAATTTCCATCTCTCGCACAGCGAAACCGGCGATAGATCTGGGTTTGGACGGTGCGCTAAAATAAGGTAGAATCGGGCATGGTATGTTTTACCTTAAAAAAGCTTTTGCAGCCCTCGCAGGTTCGGCTACCGTAATGCACTCCGGAAGCTTTCATGCCGCAAACAGCACAGAGACCGTGCTGAAATACGTGGTGCAGGGTTTAGAAGCGTATGAATTTTGACGAGGCCCGTAGCATCTTTGGGATTGTCGAAAGAGTCTCTTGAAATCTACGAATGTCGAAGAAAAAGTATGGTATCTCGCAGTGCATGTAATGCATGAAGCAAAATAGATTTCCATGAGATTTGATCTATCCGGTGGTGTACCTTGTTTTTGAATGTGAAAAATTGTATGAGACCTCAGGATTCGAGTCATGCTAGTCAAAACTAGCTCTCTTACCTCCTTTGTCTTTTGCGGTTTGCCTTTGGCGCTTTTCGAGGCGGATGAGGTCGAAGGCACCGAGGTCTTGAAATACACAGCAGTGTTTTCAACCCCGAAGAAAAACGGGTAGTCCGTAAACCATTCTGCTAGTGAATCAACGAGGCTGGGCATGCAGATCCTAAAGCATCAGGAGGTTTCAAGGGGATATAGCGTACGTATGATTACTGGCAGGCACGGGAGCTTCTTGAAAGTGGTTCATCCTTCTGAGGCTGTCTGTATAACGTCTGTACAGAAACGATCAGCGCTTGTGGGGGTGGTGGTGTTCTGAACAGCAGCAGAGGATGTACATCCGTGTCTGTCTGTCTGATATCCGACGATGCATACCACCGCTGGTGCCTTTGTGTGCACAGCTCGGAAAGACAGGGTCCACGGATAAGTTCAAATCGGGGAGCAGGTTTTTTTCTGTTAATAGCGGGGTTTTGAAAGTATAAAGGAACCAACTTCCTGCATATTCGGTCAGCACCTGCGGGTTTTTACAACAGCTTACTTTCAAAAACATCTCGAAGAAGTGAGTTCTTAGGATTCACGGGGGACCAATTTTTTCCTGGCGGTACCGGTTTACCTAGTAATCAAATATAAAGTGTTTTCAAATAGTTTTTAATCAATTTTGACAACATTTAAAGTAAAAAAAGTCGAAAATCTGGTCATTTGGGGTCCTTCACCCCCCCCCCCCTCCAATCCTAAAGGTTCTATATGATTCTTCGGCCAAAATTAAATTTTTTAATTAAAGTTTGTGTAGTTTTATGATTAAGGATTGTTTAAAAACAATTTAGAAAGCATCCGCTATTTATAAGAAAACTTAGGCTCGTGCCCAAAAAAATTTGGTGGAGGCTGGATAGATACGATTTTTATGCAAATCAGACCGTCTCTGTACTTTTTTCCAATTCTGAAGACATTTAATAAGTTTTTTTGAACAGCAACAAACATCTGCTATCTGCTGTTCGACCAGAAGAACATCAAGCCCAGGCCACGCCCATAATTGACATTCAAGCGTCTCTCAGAACATTGTTTGCTTAGCGGCTTTAAAAGGGATATCGAGCCGGGGATTTCTCATTCTAGAATTAGGATCCAGTGAAATAAACGGACGCCGCCCTTTCGGCGTTTCACGAATTCGCTCAACCGTACCGACAAAGTCAAAATAGTGAAGTTTGGTGCGGAATCGATGAGCTCACGACCGCGAGCATGCTACATGGATTTTTTAAGGGGTAATTGCCGCTAGAAAGAACAAACTATTTTTTTGCATAAAGAAGAGGCTCTCTGCGCCGATTTTAGTACTCTTAAAGCGAGCTTCCGAAGACGAGTTTTTATCAATTCTTCTCTACGAAAAATGTCAACCACGGCGTTTTTATTATATGGTGCCCCAAATAATTCACAATGTTTATTTTTTAGTACTATTTTTTCTTTGTCGTAGTCTTGAGTGTCGTCTTGGCAGTCGTGGGCTTGAGTGTTGTTGTCGTCGCCTTGACGGTGGTTGTGACGAGTTTGGTAGTGGTCTTGGTCGTCGCCACGGTAGTGGGTTTTGACGTCTAAAATTCGCAGTCTTCTACGTACATTATGAAAGTTTTTGAATTGATAATCATCTTCATCCTTTGTTTAATGATAGAGCTGTTTAGATCCTATTCATAAACGCTTCACCGTCGTCGTCGCCACACATTGATTGCAATAGTTCGGGCAGTATTGCTTTCGCTGGGCAGCGCGTAACCGGACGAGTGCAGAAGCCGTTGGCCACCCAAGTGGCACAACTGAAAGGTTGTGGATTTTGGCGTTAAGGGTTTGTATAGCAGCAAAAAACCAGGAAGTAAAAACCAACTTAGGATCATCAGTTCCGCAGCTGGCCTTCTTCATCGTAGTGGTCGCAGCTGGGGCAGCTGTTGCCTTCGCCGTGGTAATTACAACAGTACTGGCGGTGCTGGCTACGCGGCTTGTAGTAGCGCTTTGCGTCTGTAACGTAGGAGTGGGTTCTGGAGCCCGCCTTTAGCTGGCTTACTCGAAGTTGCCACATTGGCCACAATAGTTCGGGCAGTAGCGTTAGTGCTGCGCGGCAGTGTATCCTGATGAGGTGCAGAAGCCATTGGATACCCAGACGGCGCAGCTGAACGCTTATAATGTAACTGCTTCGCGATAAGCCATGATAGAGCCATTCCTGGTCGCAGGATGGTGGTCAAAATGAGGATAAACCTACTTTGGATCATCAGTTCCACAACTAGCCGTCGTTGCAGTCGTTGTAGCATTGGCTGCTGTGGCCTGAATTGATAGAAAATTTACAGCGCGTTCAAGTCCTAGTACCTTCGTGGTAGCTCCTGTAACCGTTGTGGCATTAGTTGCAACGGCAGCGGTAGTGCTAGCAGTGGTACTGGCAGTTGTGCTAACCGTCGTACTGGCCGTGGTACTGGCGGTCGCACTAGCAGTCGTACTTGCTGTCGTGCTGGCTGTTGTGCTGGCTGTCGTGCTAATCGTCGTACTGACTGTGGTACTAGCAGTCGTACTTGCTGTCGTACTCACAGTGGTGCTAACTGTCGTACTCGCCGTAGTGGTCACAGTTGTGCTCACTGTCGTACTTTCCGTTGTTGTGCTAGCAGTCGTGGAAACGGTCGTACTCTCCGTTGTGGTAGGCGTTGTACTCTCCGTCGTGCTCTCGGTTGTGCTCTCTGTCGTGCTAGCAGCCGTGCTGGGTGTAGTGCTGGCCTTCGTCGTAGCTTTGGTGGTGGTAGCTTTGGTAGTGGTTGTCTTGACGGTTGTCTAGAATGTAGTGAGAGTTTCGAAAGCCTAAAATACCGCCTTTGTCGTAGTAGCACAAGCATTTGTAACGTTGGTGCAGCTCGAGCAGAAGCATTCGTACATGATGCCACCCTGAAGGATGAAAAGGAAGAGTTAAGAAAGGTGATACCCCGTCCAACTGTTTGCACTGGCCAGCAGCACATTGATCAGCGTTGGCACCGCCGGCGGCTGAAAATTAAAGCATTGATTTATCCGAATATAACCCACGTCCTTGGCTGCATCCGCTTCCGAAACCTGGAAATGTTATAATGGAGAGAGCACACTTTTTAAGGTATCGCAAGCCCAAACAAACCGATTAAACTAAACTAACTAACTTAAACAATATAACGCGAGGAAGCAAACGAAAAATCGGATAAAATCCGAAATTCAATACTTACTTCCCGTGCAGTCATCGGCTAAAAACAGTAAAAGTTATTAACTATACCCGAAAATGTCCTTACTTGCCAAAGCAACCTGAATCAGGAAAAGCACCACCAACAGCCGCCTAACCATTGCTAAAATGTAGCCGGAAATTCGGGACCGCCGGCTTAAATCTATGTTCCTTTTTCCGAGCCCATTTTTCGGGCCGTCCAGTTCAACATGTGTTTGGGCAGCCGTTCGAGGTCATCCTGGCCATCGGCTGGGTGCAGCTATAGCTGGGGTTGTACATACATTGAAAGTCTTGTTGCAATGGAGTATCGATTGGGGGTTAAAGGTTGGAACTGGCAGAGAGACGCAGCAGAAGACCTGACCCAATATCTGGGATTTCGCCAGCAATTACTCGTATTAAATTTTATCCTCGACCTTAGTTCTACCGTCTATCAAATAAACTGTTACCGTTTGTGCGTTACGCTACTACCCAGGCCAGCTAGTCCAGCGGAAGCTCGACACTCACTCGGTTTCAAAACACCACAGACAACGTGGGCAGAAACTTGCCTGGGGATTCCATAATGGTAGCTATTTAATTCATCCAATAGAAAGTTAAAAAAATTCAGCAGCAATATGTAACTGAACGAAGCATTTGATGGTC